CTAATGATGTCCCTACCTTCAAAAAGGGCAAAAAAGGAGAATCCTGGGAACTACTGACCAGTAGACCCATATCAATCCCTGGGAAAATTCTGGTGCAGATAAGTCTATCTGCCTTCAACTTGAAGGCAATGGAGTAATTACTACAAGTCAGGATGGATTTTTCAAGGACAGTTCTTGTCAGACTAATTTGATTTCATTTTTTGATTGGGTAACCTCTTTTATGGACTGTGGGAATTCTGTGAACATAATTTATCTTGACTTCAGCAAAGCTTTTGACAATGTTCCCCATGACATTCTGAGGAGAAAACCAGTTAAAAGTGGACTAGATGGAACAACTATCAGATGTTAGTTGTAGTTATAGTTAGCTACAGAATCAGACTGAGTTTGCTGCTCTGTGTGTCTTGCTTGCACAACACTATGGTACCTTCTCAGATTGAGAAGAGATAACAAGCAGGGTACTGCAGGACTCAGTCCTGGCCCAGTGCTCTTCAAGATTTTTATTCATGATCTGGTCAAATGCAGTGAGAAATGCTTATGAGATTTGCAGATGACGCAGCATTGGGTGGGATGGCTAATTCCCTGGAAGACAGAAACAAAATTCAGGGTGATCTTGATATGCTGGAAAACTGGGCTGAAAGCACCACAAAATCAATAGGAACAAATGTCAAGTTCTACATCTAGGAAAAAGGAACCAAATGCACGGTTTCAAGATGGGAGATATTTGACTCAACAATAAGTGAGAAGGATTTTGGAATTGTCCTCAATCACAGGTGGAATAGGAGTGAGCAATGTTATGCACGTTTGTCATTCAGTATATAGATGAACTATGGAATTCAATGCCACAAGAAGTAGTGAAGGCCACCAATCTGGATGCCTTATAAAGAGACTGGACAGATTCATGAAAGAAGAGGCTATCAGTGGCTATTAGCATTACTGGCTATATCAGGATAGGCCAACACCTATGGAATGCGCTCCCCAGAGAGGTCTGCCTGGCGCTGTCGTTATTTGTTTTTCAGCGCCAGGCCAAGACCTTTTTATTAAAAAGTTATTTTAATTGTTAACTGATTATGTATTGGGTTTTATATTGTGCCAAAATGTCTCCAAAATTGTTTAAGATTGTGTGAATTGTATCTGTTTTGTAAGCCACTCCGAGGCTTTTTGCGAATGGGGCAGCATAGAAATGTTTTAAATAAAATAAATAAATAAAAACTGTTCATACCTTGAGGGCCACATGAGGACTGACATGAAACCCAAGGGCTGCACAATGAATTTCATTTACATATCATAAATGAAAGTGTTCACAATGTATTTATTTATTGTGATATATACAATTAGTTTAACCATTAAGCATTAAGCAAGGGAGAATTAATCTTAAGATAATTTTAGACCTGATTGAAAGAAAAAGAACATTCATGGGCCTGTGATATCCGCAGGCAGTTCCTTCTATGCCCACAGCCCAAGAACAATGACGGCTCCTCTTAGGTAGCCCATCCCTTTCTCCCATTTCTTCTGCCCAGAAACCCTCCCATTGACCACCTGGCCCCTCCCGCCTTCATGGAATTGGTACACTGAGCTTCTTGTACTTGAGCCAAGGACCTCTTCCCAGCATGCCCCAGCTCATCAATGTGGGGCATGCTGGGATGAACTCTTCTGAGGCTGCCCTCTCTTTTCCTGAGGCTCACCTCTATCATGTCTTTGCTTCCCAATCTTTTTTCCAATCCCCATGCTTTTAGTGAACATATTGGATTTTTCAATATAATTATTGCCTTGAAGGTCAAAGGGCTGCTCTTGATTTATTTTTCTTTTATTTATCATTTTATTTATTTATTTAAGACATTTGTAAGCGGTCCTTTGTAAAAGCCTCAGGATGGCTTACACGAATAAAATTCCACAATAAATAACAATCTATAAATAGCATAAAACATCCCACAATATATCCTCTCTTAATAAAAGTAATAAAAATAAAATGCAACTATATATAAATTAGCAATATTAATAACATTAGTTGTTAAAATGGAGATTAAATAAAAAGGTCATTACTTGGTGCCAAAAAGAATAGAGGGTTGGCATCAGGCAGACCTCTCTGGGGAGCATGTTCCATAGTCTGGGTGCCATCGCACAAAAGGCCCTCCTCTGTGTGGATACCCTCCTTACCTCCCTCAAAGAGGGTTCCTGGAGTACAGCCTCCTCTGCCAATCTTAAGGGGTGTGAGGGCATATAGGGGAAGAGATGTTCCTTCAGGTATCCAGGACCCAAGCAGTTTAGGGCTTTATAGGTAAGTACCAGCACCTTTTATAAATTTCAGGTTGCTTGAAACTGCTCCAAACTGTGTCACCTGCAGCACTTGTTGAAAAAATGCACCTGGAAATGCCCCAAGAGCAGCAGGGCATCATGCCTCCATCCTTTCCCAGGGGAAGAAAAAGAGAGAGTTGCTCCCACAGCCTGCTGAGGGAGGTGATCTTCTCCACCTACCACAACCCAGAAAGGGATAGCAAGTCTCAATAAGCCCCTACCTTGCAGGGCTTGTTCAAGCAAAGGCTGTGGCAGGGCAGGGAGGAGAGTCTCCCCACCAGCTGCCCAGTGACTCATCCCAGTCAGAGGAGCTGCGTGGGCTGCCTCCCTACTGCAGCCCATGGCAACCTCATCTCTCTTGTCCTGCAGGAAAACTGTGGGCTGAACTGCACCTGAGCAGAGAACCTTCCTGGAGCACAGACCTGGGCCCCACAAGCCCAACCTGCCCTGCCACCCAGTGAGAGTGTGCAGGATTTCTGGGCAATGTGGCAGCTGCTGCCCTGTGGAGCAGCCCCTGCCTGCTCTAGCTCCCTCATGCCTGCTGGACCAAGCCTTCCTTTTCCACTGCTCAGCAGGAAGGCCTAGGATTTGTCTGGCAGAAAACAAACCATGGCTTGTTTGCTCAATTCCCAGGTCATTTGTTTCCCTCCTCCTTCACCCAATTACTACCTGTATCTCAAATGCCTTTGCAACACTGTAGTACTAGTATGAAGAATGGCTGCTTTGGGGGGCTACTACTGTTGCCTTTGTAACTTAGTGAAACAACTCACAATACCCAGGTTGGGGGAAGATCCTGCTCAACTGCTTCCTCTACCCTCACCCTGAGTTATTTCACTGATAGGCAGAATTACCCCACTTCACAACTATGAGTCTGGTTGGAGGGACAATTCTGCCTGTTAGTGCTCTGCACACATGAAGCACTGAAGGCAAAATCAGCCCCTCATTTAGCAAGAACTTTGTGTATTGGGTTGATGGAGTAGGCAGCAGCTGAGCAGTGAGGATAATGGGCTACGCAGCCCAGTGCTTGGCAGGTTCAATGTACCATTGGGAGAGCAATGGGGTTGAAAGGGACACTCAGTTGCAAAGACACTCTGCCAGCATTGGCTGGAGGGTGTGACAAGGAGGCAGATGACAGATGTCAAAACTGCCTGTTTTGGGGCAACTATCATCCTCTTCCCTTCAGTGCTCCAGTGTGATGTCTTCTGGGATATGGCTGGAGGACTGACAGGGAAGAGGGAGAAGCAATTCTTGACAACTCCTGCTGTGCCCCATCATTATTTGGGAGACAGCGCCAGTCCCTTGGCAACTTCAAGCTGAACCTGCACAGAATATGCCCAGAGAACTGTGAAGCAACCAGAAAACTGTTTCATCACAAATTCAAATTTCTCATATATCTAGCAACCCATGTTGCAACACAGAAATGGTCACAGGAAGCAGACCTTCAGACTGATCTTTTCTTCAGGCATTTCTTTTTCCATCTGCATAGCTAATTGCAAGGATGCTTTCTCTACTCACAAAATTGAAAGATATTAGTAATTTAAGAAAAATGGCTAGAATTACTATTTTTGAAAGACACACAAACTGCAGGTTTCCACCATTGCGTGCGTACTACATGCCAAACATTTGTGCTTGTTCTTGCCAGCTCTTATAAAGAGTTTACAATCTGGTTTCATAATTTATGTATGCATCCCTCCTTGAAAAAAGAGAAAAGAAAATCTGATTGAAATAAACTACAAAGAACTCTTCACACATTATGTTGAATATGCACAGGATAGTGGAAGCAGGATCCCCTTCATCATTTGTGAAAGAGCTTAAATATTTGAAAAGGCAAAGACCTGATCTCACATACAAATTTGATGTCTGTCCCTTATAGCTTTGCAGAAGTATTCATGCACACCTGTTGTTTCCTCTTTTACTGTTTTAAAACCCAGAACTGAAAAGGGATAATTTTGTATGGTCACCACTAAATGCACACAAGATATTCAACAGTGTGAAAGTAAAAAGTACTTTTATTATTGTGCAAAAGCTGAGTAAACAAAAATAAGACCTTTTTTTATTCACTATTTGTATGACCTACTCTATGCTTTCAATCAATTTTCAGAGGGGCTTCTGGGGCTTTCTAGCCTAGGCATTATCACCTGCCAGAACATGACCCCTCCCCCTTACGATCGGGTGCCAAGTGGTACAAGCTTCATCCAGGACCAGTGCAGAGATCGTTGGCTATAAATTAATTCTCAAGCCGATTTCAGTGATCAACGCCGATTTTCCCCCCCTTGCTCTGCATCTCTGTTCATCTAACAAGGATGTTGCAGGGGCAACTTATGAAAGACTGAGGGCTTTAGATGCATCCAGATTTAGATGTACGCAGCTGGACTGGCCAAAGATCCCTTTCGCTGCTGGCGGGGGTCGCCTGCTGTAAGTATAGGTAACGAACATCCTGGCTGCTTGGCCCCCTAACCACCACCTCCCTGCCTGGCCTGTACCTGCTGGGCTGGGCCTGGTTCTCGCCACGCGCCGTGCACCCAAATGGCGCCTCGCAAATGGCTCCCCCTGACCCACCCCCAAGCGGGCCGACACCTCTCCGGCGAACGTGTTTGCGTGGGATTGCTCCAGGCCCGCCGCTCTACGTGCCGGCTTCCCGCGGCCAGGCACGGCCCCCTGCCGCCCGCCGGCGGTGTCTACAGCAAGGCGGGCTTTCGCCGAGCGAGGCGGTGCTGACTCAGCCTGGGCCGAAGGAAGCGCAGGGCGATGGCGCTCAGCCCCCCCGAGAGGCAGCCGGGCCCGCCCGAGCCCCCGCACCCGGCGCTCCCGCAGCCGCAGCAGCGGCGGCGGCAGCAGCAGCACGACGACGAGGACGAGGCCGAGGCCGAGGCCGAGCTCGACCCCCAGCAGCTGCGCGGCCTGGAGCCCGAAGCCGGCGGGATCCCGCTTCACTCGCCCTGGACCTTCTGGCTCGACAAGTGAGCGCTGCTGGCGCGACCGGGTGGGAAGGCGCGGCGGAGGGAGAGTGGGGCGGCTTCGGCCCGGCCCGGCGCTGGGCTGAGGAGCCCGGCCGGGAGCGCAGGACTCGGCGCTTCTTTCTCCGTCGTCTCCTCGGCCGGTCGGAGGGAGGGAGCACAGCGGCTGGCGGCGGCAGGGGCTGGCCTTTGTCTCTCTTTCTCTCTCTCTCAGCCCTTCCCCCACACGGCGAGCCTCCGCTCCGCCAAGGGCAAGGAGAGCGAATGCGCTTCTCTCGGAGTGGCCTCGCTTCGCTTCGCTTACTCCGCCGCCTCCGTTTCACCCCGACTCGCCCCTCATTCGCTCCGCGTTCAGGTTCTCCTTTGGGCTCGTGTTCATCTTTTGCCCACCCATCCACTGAATTTCCCCCTTCACACTTTCACTTCAGTGCCACTCCCAGGACAGAATCTAACTCAGAAAACTCTCCAGTATTAAGTATCAAGATCCTCGGGGCATGTCGAATAATACGTGTGTCTCTGACCGTAGGCAGAGCGCCCTTCTGTAAGGACTTGGTGGCAGCGAGCTTTTTCTTCCTTGCGGCTGCACTTTTTGTGCTTAAGCAGAAATTCAACAAGTGCGGCTTCCTCCCAGCATTTATTTACAAGGTCTTTGGTGGGGGTGGTGGGAACCAAAGAAAGGCTTACTCCTGCTCAGAAAAAAACATTGCAAATTCTTGTTCTTTTATGACGCATCTCACCACTTTTGCCTCCAGATCTCATCTTGGTACGTAATGACAGGCTTTCACAATAACAAGAATTTGTTTTTAAAATGAACTCAGATTAATCAACCTTCTCTGGACTTCAAGACTAGCTTCTGCTGTCTGGAAGTCTTAACTCAGGTCATTGATTTCCTAGAATGAAGAAACAATATTTCCATACATGATACTGAACGTTTTGGTGGGAAAGTACTGTTGTGCACTGTTCACTTCCCATAATGGTGAGGGAAGTTAAGAGGGAGGACTGCTACAGGTTTCTCTGTTGTTTGGTTTTACACTAGGGACTGTAGGTCACCGGTATCATTTTGTCTCATGTTTCTGCTTGTATATTTGTAGATGACTGGAAGCAGAGGGGGAGGGAGGGAGGGAGAGGCCTTGCACCCCAAGAGGTCTTTGCCTTCTCAACAACTTCCACTTTCACTCCCTCTTTCTTCAAAACTACCATTTCATTTTGTACTGATAGGGCTCTCATCCATTTAACAGTGTAAGGGCACAGTCCTTTGCATATTTAGACAAAGAGAAAGTGCTACAGTTCCCAGGCAGGCTTGCTAGCTGGAGAATGCTGGAGTTGTAGGATTTTTCATCTAAACATTATTTATTTATTTATTTATCCCCCCCCCCCCCCCCGCAGCCCAAGCATGCATAGGACTGTACCTTAAGACTCTGCACTATGAACTGCAGTACAACCATTGATTCCTTAGTTCCCTTCACCAATACTGCTTGTTGTTACCCTCTTTCAGTGCATACTTGTGGATGAAAGGATTATAATAAAAGTTAAGGAACCAGCATTGGGTGTTCTGGATTAAAATGGCATACAATTGTGACATATGATTTTCTGTCTGAATTGTAAGTGTGAATATATAAAGTTCGTTCCTGAAGATTAGTTACGCTTTAAGTCCTTTAAGTACCATGTGAGTATTGTATTTCAAAGTAGTAAACAGGCAACTTGTTTTCTGATCCTTCAGAGCAAAGTTTACAATCCACGCTTCACAGAAAATAGGGTTGCCCCTGCCCCCATTCAACAAGTGAAACTTCCACATAAAGGCCATGATTATACAGAGGCTTGAGATTTGGCATCTCTTTTGAAAGAGATGTCTTCCCCTTCTTGTTGAAAATTACGTTGCTGTTTCATCCCATATTCCTGAATACCCCTGTACATGACCAGATTTTGATCTGATCTTCATTACCTCATTTTTAATCCATTGATTTACAATAGCATTACTTTAGAATCCATGCCTATTTACATTTATTGCTTTAGAAATAATCAAGGTTCCCCTTTCTATTTTGCTACAAAAGATAAGCCTACATAATTTATTTTATTTTCTAGCAGATTCAAAAGCCACATTGACCAGTTCCCAGTGTTTCTCATATACCAGACCCACTTCCCCAGTTATTCCAGACTAACTGATGTGCTTGCTTGTATTCCGTGAACTACAATTGGTTGTTTCTTTACTCCTGCTTCTCAGAACTCCATGATATCACAACACTTGTTACTTGACTCACACACTGTCCTGCTGGAGCCCAAGCTTATGTTTATTTACTGATCTGATTTTGTAACTTGAGAAGGAGACCAGTTCCTGAGGTATAAACAGCTTCCTGTGACTGATACCAATGGCCTAAAATGTTCTTATGACCAGTTACATTTTATTAACACCTTTGAAACTGCTAAAATGGTTTGATTGAAGAAATAAATGCAAAGGAATACATAGTAGATGTGATAGCGGCATTTCTGTGTGTTTGTCCCAGTATATACAAAGGAAGTGAGTCTGGTTTTATCAGCAGAAAGGTACATGGTAAACCTGTGAATATATGCTGCTTACCTTCACATAGCTGTTTTCAATTTTGCCCCGCCAAAGTTACTGCGTGTATTGAAGCTCCGCAGAGGAAAAATTTTCTTGAAAGAGAAGATAATAGGGATATGTGAAATTAGGAGAGGGGTGTGCATGCTATGTGCCATTAGACTTAGGGCAATCCTATTAATAATGAAAGCCTTCCAAAATGCCCTGTTCATAACAATTCCATTCAGCTCTCCCAAGTTCAAGGCAGTGGCTTCCTTTATGGATTCAGTCCATCTCATATTTGGTCTACCCTTTCATCTTCTGCCTTTGACTTTTCCTAACATGATTGTCTTCCCCAGTGAGCCTTACCTTCTCATGCTGTGTCCAGAGTATGACAGCCTCAACTAACAACCAAAGGTAGAATCCTTCACACCTCAGTCACCTTCAGTTTAATCCCAAAATTGCTCTTAGAAGCAAGCTTAGTGCCTCAGTTTGGAGGTATCTACAAGTGTGAAGTAGTTTAGCAAATCATTGGAAGGTGGGGTGCCACAAAACCAGTAAAAAGACAAAGCAAGAGAAGAAAGGGGGAGAATTCAACCTCCCTGAAGCTGCAATTCTGCTCACAATTACTTGGGAGTAAGCTTCCTTAACTTCAGTAGGCCTTACTTCTTGGTAAAGCTTTTTATTGTAAGACTGTTTATTCCTACCCTTAATCCATGGAATCAAATTTCTATCATTTATGTAAGTAGCTGTAGCTGTAAGCAGCTATTTTAGGAGGAGGTGATCTATATTGTGGTTGCACAATGTAGTGGGATATAAAAATTGAAATGTGTATTCTGGTTCCCTTATTAAATATCAGAAAGAATGTTAGAGTTTAGAAATAAAGTGTGGAAGCTGGAAAACTGTTTAAAAATCTCTGCCCAGGTATCCCTTCACTTCCTAAGCCTTTGGCAAAAACTATTTTATTATTCTGTTTGAAACAAAGCCTTCATATTCTTGGGTTATTTATTATTGATATGAAATCATGTGCCTCTTTAATGTTTCAGAGTATGGTTATGCTCACAGAACCACCAAGGTTCTTAAAAGTTTATTTTATTTATATACCACCTTTTTCCTTACAAAGAACTCAAGGTAGGTTACATAATTCTTCCCCTCCTCTCAATCTTATCCTCACAATAACCCTATGCGGTAGGTTGGGCTGAGAGTCTGACTGGCCCAAAGTCACCCAGTTGGGTCCATCACTGAGTGGGGACTAGAACCCATATTGCCTGAGTCCCAGTCCTGCACTTTTAACCACTATGCCATACTGACTGCTGCAGTCCCATAAAGTTAGTTTTAAGTTAAATTTCAAAAAATAGCAAAAATAAAGTTGCAATAAGCTAATATCAAAGCAACTTGGGATGAACTCGGAGAAAACCTGCCAACGCTTTTTGGGAGTCACTGATGGAATGCGCTGACATTTCAGGTGCTTGGCCCTTCTCCAACCTTGTGCCTCCCAGATGAGTTGGACTGCAGTTTTCCTTGGGTATATTGGCTGGGAGATGGGATTCAACACTACACATCCTAGTGTAGTGTTGGCAACAGGTTGGAAAAGGCTGCTGCACAGACAAATGTGCTGAAAACAACATATCCTCTAACTTGGAGGCAGTACTTTGGTGGAAAAAAATGTCTCCTTTCCTTCAGAAAGTGAAGACAGCTAAGTTGTGTTTTTAAATGGAACATTTTGAAGGAAAATTTTCTTCCTCAGTGTGAGTGGGTGACCCCACCTGTAACAGCTGAAGGCTAAGACCTTGCAGCCTCCAAGGCTTTCCTTAAGTCTTTCAGTTATTTTAATGATTGGAAGTGTGAGTCAATGGCAGGATGGAAATAGGGAGCAGAACACCTGTCCTGTCCCCAGGCATACCCCTAGCATGATCTCGCTATCTGATGGACAGAAAGGATGCTTTTTAAAAAATACTTGAATGGTTGGATGTAAGCAATATGGCTGAACATATGCAGAGATAGCCCATATGACTAGAAGAGACTTGCTGGGTTAGCTGAAAGGTCCACCTATTCTTTTTAAGCAATGGGCAGTCAAAGCCTTTCTGAAGCTGACTATAAAGTAGTGTATACCCAGTCAAATCTTTCTTTTCTGTCCCCACCATATTGATAGGGAAATTTATCTTTCATCTGTTGAAGGCACATTTTTGTGCATATTTCTGTGTGCTTTCCTTCCAGTCCTTTCTTCCATTGACTAAAGTATGAAAGTACTCGTATATGTCAAAGTACACATTTTTCATTTTCAAATGTGCTAACAGTACCTGGAAAAAGGTTTTCCTGCCTTCACTGACACTTGCAAATGGGATGTGTTTGCATAATTTACAAACAGAAACAACATGAAGATTGCAGTTCTTATATATAAGGAATAACATTCTATGGAGCACCCCATTATAGAAACATAGAAACAGAGCAAGTCAGAAGGGGTCTCCCAGGCCATCTAGTCTGATCCCTGGCTTCAAATGGCTCTGCTCATGACATGCCTACTGTTACAATTCTGCATAAAATATGAACTATACATATGTTTTTAAAAGAGCCTGATGTGACACTGACACAATTCCTTGAAACCTTTGTGGCCCACAAAAAAGGCCAAGATATATCACACTATTTTGTTGCTTCTTATTGAGGGAGGTAGTCAGGGTGACCTGTATCTTCTGAATACTTAAAACAATGGCAACCTGATTCTTACCCCCTTCTTTTATATTAAATATGTTTGCTGTGCTTCACACCAGCCTTTGTCCTTGAACTGCTTAGGCCCATCAACAATGTGCAGGGACTGCCATCCGGTGGCAAAGTTGGGTTTTATAATTTCATTCATAAAATTGCAGAATTACCCAAAAGTTATGTCCCTGTTCATAACAGCTACAATAGTTATTGCCTGTATTTGACCTGTTAATTTCAAATGAGCAAGAGTGATGAAAGTATCTGATTACAGACCTTGGTCTTGCAGTGAAATATCCTAAATATTGTGGTTCGTGGTTCTTGGTATAGCAGATCAGCTGAAGTGGCTAGATTATGTAGTGGCTAGAAAATGTATATTACATTTTCCTTTTAGTGGTCTTTTAGATTAGCTTTACAATATTTTCAGTCTTCTCTCCCCCCATCACTTTAAATCCTTCAAAATTACATTTAAGTTTTCTAGATAAAATAGGTAAATATTCAAGTAGCAATGTCTATCCATGTCCAGTTCCATAAAGTTAATGATAAACCTCCAACTGACATATGCAGATAAAGAAAATAAGTCTGCTGAAACATATTTGACTACCATATGTATCAGGGCAAAATTTTTATCTATTGAGTGAATGGATGCAGGCACAAAATGAGGATCATTATGCTTCAAGGAATCTGCACTAAGAGCTGCTTCATGCCCCTAAAAGGCAATATGTTTGTATTTAACAGCATATCTACCCTGTGTTCTCATGGTAAAGCTGATGTGGTTTTTCTGGGTTGTAATCCAATCTAATGGTTCCATGGACAGAAGAAGAACTGCATTCACTGAAGGACTAAGTTGGATCCTACTCTAAGTAAATATCGCTGGGTGCCTACAATTGGCCATGGCTTCCAGACATGCTTTCCCATGTCTCTCTTCTGCATAGAGAGGCACATAGAATGAGGAAGAGTTTAATGGTATCTGGCCCACTACTTTGGTATGTAGAGTGGGAGATCTGGACTCTGGGCTAAAAGAGTTATAGAAATTGGATGATATTGATTGATTGAATTGTGGTCACTACTTATTACCAAGTTGAACTTGAACTGTGAAACTGTTCCACAGCACTTAGAACAGTAGAACTGCCTAGTTTGCCTAATACTACATTTTGCAATGAGCAACCATACACACATCTTACAGATTTATGAAATGAATTTTTTGTTGGTTGCAGAAAAACAAAGCAGTAGAAAACCTTGCATTTTTGGAAATTTTCTATCTCCTTTCAGTGCATCTAGGTGCCTATATAAAATACCATAGTGCAGTATCTAAAATAAAAGGTGTCACTGAGGTGCTTAGTCTCGTTGACCTTTCTGATTTTGCTAGAAGCTGGAAATGCTTTGTGTTTGGGCCATTTTTCTCGCCAGGGCTTTTGATTGATCAGTTCAAAGGTGCCTTCATGGGCTTGTCAGCTTGCAGGGCAATCAGGCAGGCATTTGTTTGTTTTCAGCAGTCAAATGAAACTGCTGAAAACAAACAAATTGAGGTGGAAGGAAATCGAGGACTTTGCCTTTGCAGCTCTTCAGGCTGTGGTTTCCAGAATGAGAATGGATTCCTGAGCCACAGTTTCAGAGTAACACTGATTTATATCAAAGCACACAATATATGTGTCAGGGAGCCTGCAAGCCTGAAGCTCCTTTGGAATGCAGTGAATCTGTTCATCTTAGCCATCTAAGACCTGATCAGTAGCTTTGATTTTGCCCATTTTCTATGTGATAGAAGGATCCTGAATCCAATTCCTGCCCCCACACACCATCCTTTTGTAAATTTGGGATTAGGTGTGTGTGTGTTTTTAATAGAAATATAATGATTAACCCAGACTACAGCAAACATTTAAAAAAGCACACACAGAATCCTTGTATTAAGTATATTTAATAATTATCTTTTCATCAGTGTTGTAATGCTTGTGCAACTGTTTCCAGGAGATTGCTCTGAACAGACATTCATTTGGCTCTTCTGCTTAAGAAGATAAGCTAATCTCTTTTCCACTGTGAGTCTGATACATGCAGCTTTTGAAGAGGGTTGCTTGAACGTGGGCACAGTTCATCGTTACAGAACTTTCAGGGTATAATATGCACTAAAACTAACTTGTGTTTTCCTACCACGAGCTTCAAGAGTAAAAGAGCAGTGTCCTCAGTTTACAGAGTGAGCAGTAAAGGTATTCCTGTAGACGTTTAGGGTGCAATCCAGTCAACATGAATGAGAGACTCTAAACTTGCAGAGCAATGCTTCCAGTGCAGAGTGGGAGAAGGAGTAAGGACAATCTTTACTACCTGCTCTTCCCATTCTGAATTTTGCCTATGCAGCCATTTTTGGCCATCAGGCTGGGGCATATTGGAGGGGCAAGGGAGGAAGGTGGGAACAACTTCAGAATAGCTTATCTCCTGGCTGCCCCAGGCTCCTTTCTTCCCTTTACCCCCATATTCCTCTCCCCCAATTCCTCTCGAGTGAAGAAGAGGTAGTGGAGGTATCGAAGTTCTAGAAATCCAAAATGTCCTTTGGCCCACCAAAGAATGTCTAGGTCCAGGCATTTTTTCTTTCATAACTGTATAGCTGAGCAGAAACTGAATCCAAGTCCAAAGCTCTTCCCCTTTGCTATGCTGGCTGTTACATTGTTCTTGCTTGGCAAGATTGTGCAGTTTGCTAATCATGTTGGTTTCAGTCCCACTGAAATGGGTTACTCATGTTTGTTGTATGCATACATTTGCATAAAAATCTGTGGCTCCTAGGGTACAAAAAGCCCATAGGATCCTGTGCAGATGAGTCATGTAAGGAGGAAGCAACATGGGTTCTCTGGAAATAGCCTTGAATAATTTTAAGAAAATTATCTATACTTGTGGCCAAGCAGCTATGCTATATTATACTGTCAATGTGGAAATCTTCCATTTATCTTTAAAATCTCTGCTCAGCTTCCATTTGCCAAAATGCATGGAAATACTTCCCAGTGAAACCAAAGATAGCATGGTTTCTGACAATAGAAATGATTATTTAACTAAGGTGGGCTTCCATGTTTGGATTTGAATCACTATAAAAAGTCATAGAATGTTGCCATCTAGTGTTATAAATGTAAAACGAATAAAAGAGTTTGCTCACACCTCTGTATGATAATCATGATGTTCATTTAATCTGCACAGAAAATGCAGAATATTTTTAAGAGATACCCCTGTAGTAAAATGTGGATTCAAAACAAACGCTTACAAAGAAAAAAACTGTTGAATTTCATAGGAAAAAATGTGAGGACAAATTTAATAGCTCAATTTATTTTCCAGTTAACAGTGGTCTGGGTGCAATTATACAAAATTAATGCACCTTGATTAATATTCTCTCATAAAGTCTCCTGTGTTGATATGACATCAGTAGATAGATGTGGTTAGAATTGCAGCCTTATATTCATTGGGATATAAGCAGCCTCTGTGAAGAATTGCAGTATTCATAAGTTTATTAAAACACAATGGGAAGATTCCAACAGGGGCACTCCAACTTCAGTGGTTCTGTTGCATGCATGGTACCCATGGTACCCTGTTTGCACAATGGGCTTTTTGGACTTTTAAAAATAACCCCAGAAAACACTTATTTCCAGATTGGAGAAGATGGTGGATCTTTTTTGTGCAAGCTCTGCTGACCTGCCCCATCCTAGAAGCAAACATTTGTGCTAATTCTAGATTATTTTTAGAACCTTTATGACAGGTTCAAAACAACTTTATGACAGTCCACTCAAAATCTTTATATTCTGATATCTCAAAATGTTTTCTTAAATTCTGTGTTTTTATTTAATGATAATTGATAGATACATTTATTATACCTAATCTGCTTTTTCTTCTTTTCCAGGTCCCTTCCTGGCACCACAGCAGCTGAATGTGCATCAAACTTAAAGAAGATTTACACAGTCCAAACTGTACAGGTGAAAGCAAAAGTGATACATATGATAATTATATGTTGCAGTATGATAATTTCAATTCTCCCAGTTCTTAACTGAAAGTGATAGCAAGGAGGTTTTACTCTGAATTCAGATGTGTCTTTAAACATAGCAGTGGAACCCTGTTTATAAGTCTAGTCCTAGGTATGCCAGTCTCTCTCTTAAGATACTGTATTTCAGATTTATATTGCCAGGATGCCTGCCATCCAGATGTCTAAATCTACTTCTTATGGACATGCATTTTAATACTCAGTGCAGATACCAGTGAAGCATGTATATTTGTATGTTGGTTATATTGCAGAGCCATATTTTCAGCTAGTCCTTAAATAGGGTTGTGGAAATTCGTGTTCCCAGTCGAAACCTATCCTTGGGGACTAGGAAAGTGGGTGAGGAATCCTTCCTAGCCCTGTTAAAGTTCCTGAATAAGATCAGCCAGGATCAGTGTGGAGCATCATAGGTATACCAATTCTCAATTCAGAGATGCATCTGTTTCAGGACTTTTTCTTCTCTCTGATGCTCAGCCTTGCTTATTTCCTTCTGCTGAGTTAGAAAACAGAGAAAATGTCCCTTGCTGAAACAGTGGGGTGGGGAGGCAATCCCTGCCCACCAGCCTTTCCAGATTGTAACACTGTCAGCTGGACTTCACTGTAATCTGCTAACTTTGGAAGGTACAAAGCCTTTTGCTTGGGTGCGACAGGAGGAGAGGCTGAGGGACTCCAGGATACAGCATATCATGGTTGAACATCCTGTGCCAACCCAGAATGTCCACGAACATATGACGGTGCAGTCTGCCTTCTGACCTTTGAGCTCTAGCTGGCATGGCTGCACAGGTGGAGAGAGGGTGCTTCAAGGCCAGAGTGGAGCACATCAGCCTTGGAGCACATTTCTGTCTAGTGGCCATGGCATTGTACCCTAATTGAGATGTGATAGTGAAGGACAGCATACAAATGTTTTAAATAACTGGATTTTATTGTATCAGCCATCTAGAAATCTAGAGAGTAGAATCAATCAGACCGGCTAGATCATTACTACTGACTGGCAGCAAGATAAAATTCATTCTGTTTATGGTTCTATGTGGATTAATACAATTGTGTTCATTAATACTCTCTCCTCCTCTCTCCTCCTCTCCCTGCCCCCTGCTCTCTAGATCTTCTGGAGTGTTTATAATAATATTCCTCCTGTGACAAACCTGCCTCTGAGATGTAGTTATCATTTAATGCGTGGAGAAAGACGACCGTTGTGGTATGAATACTTACATATTACTGTGTTTTGGAAATAAACTTCTAAGTTAGAAGTAGTAAGAGGTAATAGAAAAAGAAATTGAAAGATAAAGGATAAAAAAGACTGGAGCAGTTTGTTTTACTGGGTTAGTAAGTATGATATGTTATGGCCCAGCAACCTATGATTGTTGAGACTTAAAAGATAGGAAGAATATTTGTTAAACATTCCTGTTATGCAGTGTGATCTTTGTCTGTTGTATGTATTTGACTGAAAGCAGGCTTTGCAAAATTGGACAAATGAAAGTTTTAAAAAATGGTAAAATGATAGCAGTATTTGGAATGAACACTGAAGAAACAAGGGGAAGCTCCAGCTGCATTCTGCTTACTGAATAGGAGGCTATGAGTTTGCAGTTCTTGATTGTAAGCCATTGCATTCTCTGGCAGATCACTTTCAAAACAGAGGGGTTTCAGTAGCAATGATAAGACCATGGACTGGGGAGGACTCCATTCACAGAAGGGGGAAAAAAGTGTACTTTGCCATGTGAAAGTCCTGCACATGCCTGGAGTAACTCCCTGGAACCCATCAAACAGTAAAAACAGGCCTCTAAACTTTACTGATTTGAATATATCGTCTGTAAAATATAATGTCGGTATATATTGTTCAATACCATTTATTAAATACATTAGTTTTATTAATTGCCTTTCACCTCAAATGTGGTTAATAGTTAGATATATATTTAGTTGTGAGCACTTGCACTGGTTTAGCTTTCTTCAACTGTTATGTTTAAGATCATGTTCCCTAAAGTACTCAATACTTGGACAATTCTTATGTACAGAACTTGCAACGATGCATAGAATTGCAACAGCACTATTGAATTGTACTGAATTGAATGCACACTGAATTGCATTCAGCACATACTGAACTGCAGCGCCTTCTAGACAGCAACCTGACAGCCATAGGGTTTTTGCAAGACCAAACTATGGCCACGTTGGGAGCATTCTTGCAGCTGACATAGAAAGAACTATGAGGTCATCTGAGGACACCAAGCATGCTGGTGCTGCATCAGCTTCCTTCCCTCCAAAGTACCTTAGCTAGAGGGCCAACATTGGCCATCTAACTGAGTTGGAGAGTGGGAGCCAAGCTTATGTTCCATGCCCCTCCCACCCTTCATGGAGAGTCTGTAATCCACTGAGTTCTGAGGGTTACCGGCATCCTGATTGGATTACGCCCTACCTGAACTATCCCACTTACCACACAGCAAAAGCAAATGAACCGGCATATTCAAAGCCCTTACACTGGCAGGGCAGAAGTGAGAGACTAACAGTGTCTTGTGTGTTTATGTTTTTCCCTTGCCATGTTTTAAAATAAATTTCCTCCCATTTAAATCAATGGGAGGAAAGTAATCTGTGAAAACTGTAGGGCTAGCATAAATGCTGTTTTCTGGGACCAGGTGGGCTATAGACGTACACCTTCTTCCAGCATGCCCAACCAGTGCATCCTTGGCATGCCTCCTCTCCCTTAGCTAGAGACTAATTGATCATGGTGGTAGGGAGGATATCCATGGTTGGATGTCCCCTTCTGAGAACTGGCTTCTACAGAGGTGACCTCTGGGATGCCTTTCTGGGGATGATATAATTATATCTTAAATGTTTCAATGTTTGTGCACAGTGGTGGCTTCTTCTGAATTTTGTAGTAGATTCTAGCTTTAATGTTTTCAGGGATTTATTTGCTTTACAAAATGAGTTGTGATAAGAATGTATACGTGTATGATCAAGTAGCTGTTTAATGTTTGAAGTAGGGTTACTTGGGTCATAGTATTGATTTTGCACAAATCCAAACTCTTCAGTTTGAGAATGGGCTGGATGATACATTGCTCACTCCTTTGGCCAAGATCTGAAATGGTAAATAACTCCATCAAGTAGAGTGCACTTGAAGATTTCTGGTGCCCACATATGTGTCCACATGTGTGTTTCCTGCATAGTAAGTGTAGGATCTGTCTGTATTACAGAATCTTGATAAAAAGTAGAGCCCTGATTTTGCAGTTTAGTCTCTTGTGGCACACATTGAAAGCCATTACAATAATATATTCTGATCATTTGAGGGTAGGAAGGAGCTGTCTTTCAGGCATTTCTAACAGTCTGCAAGATAGGGCTCTTTCATCTCCCTTTCTGAACCTTCTGTGACAGGACAGCAAGCTTAAAAGAAAGGCAAGTCTCATATTTCCCAAACTTCCTAATAATTATTCTGTCTTGGCAAAACCAAGCTTTTCTGTGAACCCTGCTTATGTCCCTTCTCATTGGATTACGAAGTGAACATCCATCTAAAACCTTACATGTGTACTTTTGTTTCAGTTCCCTGGCAGGGATCTTTTTGCTCAGAATTGGATGTTGGACCTCTGCAGATGCCATATTGCACTTTTTTTTAATTTTATGCAGAAGAACATTTCAAACAAGGCCATGCACAGTCAATAATGAGAAAGTTCTGCAAATTTAGCAAAACATTACTGAAGATGATATACAATGAATAATATTTTTGTATTTGCCAAATTTATTCTACTGATTTTTGGAAGAACTTATGATCCTAGCCTTTTGGCTACTGGAAATCCTGCACGGACCCTTTCTAGTTTCTAGATTTCCCTTCTAGATTTCCCTAGCATTGCTGCACACTCTGATATCTAGGGGCTAGAAAGCTGCTTATTTCTCTTTAACTGAGATGATCAGAACAACAATGCTGAGGTCATTTGTCAGTTGGAATGGTATCTATTGCATAAAATTTTAGGGTCTGGAATCCTAGCCCTGAATCACATACATATTGTTAGTGTGCACAGCTGAATCTTGTTTTCCTCACCAATCAGGGAAGAGGAAAGCAATGCCAAAGGAGGTGTGTGGAAAATGAAGGTCCCAAAAGACAGTACGGTATGTCATGCTTAAAGTTGTATATTCAAGTCTGTTATGATAAAGTGCAGGGGAAGGCAGCATTAATGTATTTAACATTGGTATAAAATAGCTCACACTGAACTGCTATTTGTGTGAGTTTTCAGGGGTGTGTGTGTGCGCATGTGCACACACACACACACACACACACACACACACATGAGAAAGAGAAGTCTCAAGAAATGTATTTTTTGTCATGGATCTCTCATGGATGTGCAGGATAGCCAGTGGTGATGCTGGAGAATGAACTTGGGACCTTCTGTTTGCAAAGCATGTGCTCTGCCACTGAGCTATTGCCTCTCCATGTGACCCTTTTACCCCTTTTAACTCTTCTCCACTCCCCAACTCTATTTCTCAGTGGGTAGGGATGGGTGTGGGTGGTAAATGCATGTCTCTGGCTCCTGGGACTCACACCTCACATCGAATTCAAGCCTTCAGTTCTGCACCTCTGTGAAATGTGAATTTTCATAGCCTGCTTTTAGGAAGAATTTTGAAGGAAAATGTAATCAACACACAGAACATACTTCTGCTACATTGGGGCATGTTTTGATGAATACTGGATGGGTTACAGTTAAAATCATACAACTGCATATTATATGTATTTATACTAACATGCACAATTAGAGTGATGTGGTGGCTATTGCAAACTGCGGGTGTAAACTTTTTTTTGTGACAAAATCAGCTCCTTAATTGTTTTGTTTTTGGTAGTCTGCAGTTTGGAAAGAGTTACTGCTAGCTACCATTGGGGAACAGTTTGCAGATCGCTGTGCAGGAGGTATGGAAATGCTCTTTGATCTTTTTTTTTTTTTTTAGCTTGTCTTGCTCAAGTTTAGTACAAAATAGGCGCAGCATGATGACAGGAAAGCTTACTATTTCCCATTAAACTGTCAAACATAGGTGCCAGTTTCTCTAGCTAGCACCTTCATATGAAAGCAGATTGCCTAGTTCAGATGCTAAAATAAGGATTCATTTTCTCCAATATTATCCAAGAGGCCTGTAAGAGGTCAGGAGAAACATTTAAGAAGTCTAAACTACCCATGCTATTTTCAACATGCTTGTTGGAAGTGCTTCCTTTGTTGGGGCCACCAGGACACATCCAGTGGGAACAAAAGTGCTACAAAGAGAACCAGAGTAAGAAAAGAAACATTCAAGAAGGAGGCTCCCAGCACAATCAGTCAATATAGTAGAAAGGCTCAATTTTAGCCCTGCTGCTGCATTGCATACTGATTTGAAAGGGGACGCTTCTCCTTGATGAAGACAAGACAATCTAGATGTTCAAGAAAAAAAATCCCCTCTTTCAGCACCTGGCTGTGCCTCATATGGAGACCTGCATCGTGGTTTGGCAGCTAAGATCCTAAACCTGTCAGTGGCTTCTTTAAACAGTGGCTGATTCACACTTAAAGAGAAGCTATTGTGTGGGAATTTCCTCACTTTGCGTAACAGTGGCAGCCACCATTTTTAATATTTGATAACAGTGGGGGCACGCCATAGCTTGTAAGATGAGTACCTGGTGAGAGACCATTGTTGGGGTGCTTAACAAATCACCCAGAAATTGTGGTTTGCACATGGCTTGTTCTGCATCTAACAACTCACCCTCACCAGATTTCCACATAATGACAAGCTATAGCACAGCCCTGCTGTGGCGCCAATATTCAAACAATATTCAGTATTCTCCATCATAGGAAAAGCTCTGCAAGGAAAGTCCCCCACAGTGGCTTCTCCCTGCATGTGGAAAAGGCCACAGTGAACTAATCATGCCATGTCTTGCATCTCCTCAGATATTCCTGTTCTTACTCTGAGAACAGTCTTCCCCCTATTAGTTTAGAAATACAAAGAGAGAACAACAGATGTAATTTCATATACCACAATATGTATTAATATTAAAAGTGCTTAATGTTGTTACTTGTGACTTTGTGCTTTCTCTAAATAACAGTCCACAACTGAACTGTTGTTCCATTGTATAGTGATTGGGCTTTTGGACTATCTGAATAAACTTTGATGAAAACCTTTTCCTGCCATATAGTTAAAAGCGATAGCTTTTTAGACTTCCATGCTTCAGGCAAATTTGCCACCAATGAACGTACAGTCAAACACACTAATTGAACAACACATTTCTAAGATCTCATTAAGCTACAAATGGAACAAGACCATATTTTTAAACATTTTTTTAAATTGTTATATTGTTCTTATTTATGTATTTATGTATCCTTTGTGAGCCGCCCCGAGGCTTTGTTGCGATGGGGGCAGCATAGAAATGTTATAAATAAATAAATAAAATATTTATCAATGGCTAATAACTTTTCAGTAGAGTTGAGACAGGGTTTGTGACAATTAAATGGGAAGCAGCATTTATGTTTCTTTTTAGCATGCCAGTTAGGCCTGATTTGCTGTCCTTGTTGATGTTTTGATTTGGAGAAGAGAGTTCTGCATTGATTCTTTAAAAAAAAAAAAAAAAAAAAAACATCATTAGAGTTTCCAGAATCAATCCATATTAGTGTAAATTCTTAATTAGGCCAGCCTAATGATGATCACACAAACTGCTAGTTTTTGAGGTCTCTTCATCAATTAAGAAGCGGACATGGTGGAGCAGTGGGTTAAACTGTGCAATGGGGCAAATTTCTACTGCCTTGTCCTAGCTCTTGCCAACCTAGCAATTTGAAAGCACGTGACACAAGTAGATAATTGGTACCAATTCGCTGGGGAGGAGACAGCACCCCATGGTGTCATGGTGGCCACATAACCATGGGAATGTATTTGGACAGCGCTTGGCTCATGGCCTTAGAAATGGAGATGAGCGCCACCCCCTATAGCTGCTCAGCTAGCGGAGTAAAACCCACAGGAACGCCTCTTCTTCCTTATTTATTTATTTTATTTATTTATTAAAACATTTTTATCAGTCAAGAGTTTATAAAAAGCAAATTTGGAGAGGGATAGAATGGGTAAGGGAAAGAAACCTTAACTTGATTGTTAAGTCAGTGACCCAGATGTGCTTTAAACATTTTTTTTTAATGCTGCTTTTTTTTGACAGGTGATGAAGTAATAGGGGTTAGCGTCAGTGTTCGTGACCGGGAAGATGTTGTTCAAGTTTGGAATGTAAATGCATCAGTAGCAAGTGAAGCTACAGTTTTAGAAAAGATCTATGAACTACTGCCCCAGACATCTTTTAAAGCAGTTTTTTATAAACGTAAGTGGTTTCTGTCTGTAGTGTAAGAAGAGCATCGTGTCCATACAACATCATCAACAAAATGTGTTTAATACTTTTGTGATATCTTGTGTTTCAGCTCACAAGGAGCATCATGCTTTTGAAGGTGGACGTAGAAGACATTAACAGTACTGAAATCCTGAGGTGTGTGTGTCCTTTTTATTTTATTTTTTTGAGATCCTCAAAATAAGAAGATGGACAAAACACTTGCAAAAGCATTACAACCCCTGCTTTATTTTAGATATTTCTATTCCTCTTGAGCCGCTGGTACTTAAAACCAAGGAGAATAGCTGCCTCATTTGCAGATCATGATGTTCCTTTTGACTTATCAACACAAAAGTCACTTTCCTTTTAGTATTCTTTTATTTTTAAGGTAGAAGACTTCATGGTTAAGTAGTTTACTGTTACCTAGTTTAACTGCACATGTGCACAGGTGTGATATGCTGCTTTCCCCCCCTAGACTTGCTGTACCTAGATAAATAATATCATTGTGAACCATTTGTTTGTATTTGCTTTGAGACATTCCTATCATGTTAAGAACTACTCACAGATCTGTACCCAGAGAGACTGAAATTTGCACTGCTCTAATGTACAGCAGGAGAAATCCAGTCATGGAAATCTTGCTCAAGCTCCATTAAAATTATTGGTACCTGCGCAGCACCTGCGCTGACTAGATGGTTTCTAGTGTCCTCTGCACATGCACTGATAATGTCCATACTGTATTTTTGAATAGTCACTGAACAGAGCCTGTCATTGAGAATTCATTTTCCTTTTCACTGAATTTCGGATTCTGGATATATGAGCCCTTTAGGAAACTGTGGGTTAGTTCACACTTGAGCACGGCCCACTTCTTTCGGGATGTGTTCAAGCAAGCTGTAAGCTGGGCAGTGCTGAAGAAGATACGCTGTTTCTGATCATGTATCCACCGTGACCTCTGCAATCATAGTAGCACTGGAGCTGTTGCAATTATGCTAATTTCACATAAAGGCCATCACCACACTTGTGGGAGCTGACCATTAATCAGTGTTTCTTTGTTGGTCATCATTTTGAAAACACATGACTCCTCTTCTAATGGAAAACTATAGACTATTATTCTGGGGGTGGATAATTCTACTTTGCTTTATATAAACTTTTGCTAAAAATAACAGCAACCTCTTTAAAACCCTGTATACTCTCACTTAAAATAGGAACCTTCAGAAGTTTACTTTTAGCACAGTTTTTATGAAGGAGATCTTTCCTCACTACCCCAGTCACTATGATCATATCAGTTGTGTTCTTCACTGATGTGTTAGGATCAGTATCAAATGCAGAGTAATTTTATTGTAAACATAACCCATACAACTATATGTAGTTGCAAGTTATGATGGCGCCTTAAGTACATTTTTCAGTGTAGAAAAAAGATAATTATACATTGAAGCATGAATGTGAAAGTTTTCATTATTTAGTTTGTGTGAATTCTTCCCTATACTAATTTATTGGAGGTTCCAGTATGTTTTATTACAGTACCAAAGATTTATTTAGTTCCTTGTTAGAAGGGAGTGTGTTCCCATTTGGGCAGAATTACTGGATTAGGGTTAGTATTTTGGAAATTGTTCTGACTGCACTGATACCAGCCCATTTAATCTTGCAAGAAGCGGCCATTGGAATTCAATGCATTTATAAATAAATCAATTTTCCCTTTTTAATTTTTGTACTAGTTCATCTGTATTTATGAATTAAACTTGTGCATTTAATGAGCATTATTAAAAATTTTATAAACCCATATGCATTTAGTCAAGTAATCCTATTTAATAACTTGTGAAACCTGTTCTCCAAAATTCAATTCCTGAAATCCATTCTTATGCAAGAGTAAACATTTATCATATATCTTTTTAAAGACTTCATAGTGCAGCATGTCAGAGAATGTTTACTGAATTGGGGCAGAAGAGGCAATCAATAAACTGTAACCCACCCACCCCATAATTGGGTTTTGTGCCATGGGGAAATGGCTCACACAACGGATTGACATATGGAAGAATCATGAAGATCACAGGACAGTCTTGGATGTAGCAGTGTTAATTTTCTAACCATACTGGGTTGTGGAGGTTAACTCAAATAAACTCGGGGCCTTCCAGGCAAAGAAGCACAGACAGCATGCCCTGGAAACCCCTCATTTAGCACTGTGGATATATTGGGTGGTGGTGTTAGTGGGAAGAACATCACCTTTTTGGCTTTAAGAGAGAACAGCAAAGGAGTTGCTCCAGCTGACTGACAGGATCACTTGGAAGAGGCTTCTTTTGAGCAGAGCCCAACCTGCTCCTCCATATCCTGGGCAGCTGGGGATGAGCAAGCAGCAAGAGCAACAGTAGGCAAGTGGAGAGAGGTGGTTGAAGTCTGAAACAGCATGGGTTCTGGGGCTCTCCAAACACTTACCCTGACAGCACTGGTGAGAAAGGAAGATGTTTCTCAATCCACACCGTCGCCCCTGTACCATCCAGTAGTTCTATTCTGAGTGGCTTAGACTGCTTCTGAAAGCCTGAAGTTGATCATAAGGAACCCTTTTTTGTTCTTTTGTTCACATTCTGGCTGCAAGAGGCGCTTAGAGTCTACAATTTCCTTCATCTTGTGCTTCTGGGTTTTAACATTTTCTGGGGGTCAGGGTGACTAGCAGAGACTGGGGAAGTGGTGGTGTTGATTAGGGTATTCTTGGAAAGGAAAAAAGAAAAGAAAAAATGTTGCTGGACGTGAAGGATTATTCAAAATCTTGGCTCATCTCCAAGCCTTTACTGGCAAAGATTGTAAAATAGTTCCTTGACTCCACTTCTGGTTGATAAGTGATTTTAGTTGAATTTGCCTTGCCCTGCCCTGCCCTGCCCGCTCCAGTTTGTGGCTGTCTTCCTGGTGCTTGATCTCTGTCTGGACTGTTTCCTTGTATTATGATCTTGGCCAGTGTGTTATTGGACTGTATTGCCTCACTGGCTGTGACCATAGACCCTTAAACCAGCACAGTTCTTGCTTCAGGCCTTGCTGCAAGAATCAACCTTGCCCCTGTGCCCTGATCCTGGTGTCCCAACCTTGATTAAAGGCCAGTGTTTGTAATGTTATTCATCATTCTGGTTCTATGTGGTTCTTGATTCCAGCACGCATACTATTCTCCTGGCCTATTTGAGTTAGAAATCAGAAGTACTGAATTTCAATTGTGTTCTTGTTTGTGCCTTTCCAATTAAGATCCAGAGGATGTGCCAGAGTTATTGCTCCACTTTCTGGCATCTGTGCTGTGCAATCTCGGTGGGGTGTTTTGTTATCCATGCCACAAAATCGATGCAGACTTTAGGGTGAGCCATTGGTATGGCACCCAACTCCTGTCTTTGCCAGCCCAACACAATGGGTGGATATGCATGTCATGCTAAGCCACCCTGCTAATAAGGCATGGGGGGGGTTGGCTGTTCACTGAATCACCCACTGTGCTGACGATTATGCTTGCTTGTTACCTTGCTCATTTCCACTCGGCCCTCCCACTGACTCTGGCACATATCCCAGCCACCATTCAAGCAGAACTCGCATTGTCTGGGTCCCCCCATCAGCTAAGGATTGAAACACTCCCCCCTTCTCCACACACACCAAGCATCAGGTCATCAAATGAAATTTTTGGGTCCTATGGAATGCAGGAATGTATTTCCCAGCTTTGGGGTGGTGGGATGTTGCTGTGGCACAAGCCTAACTATCCAGTATTCTAGCCCTGCATACTGATATCCTTGTCAACATCCTAGTCAATTTCATCCTCCAATTTGGAGCCTTCCTTTCTAAAGGCTGCTGAAGTAAGAGCACACACTGGCAAGGTCCCTTCCCTGCAGCAACTTTCAGCTTTCTACTCCCTTTCTGGCTTGCTGCTTCTGACCATTGCTGCTGCCACATCTTGATATTCATGAATTTTAAGGGCACAGCATGGAGGGTGCTGAGAAAAGAGGAGGGAAGACAGGGGTGGTGGCACAGGCAAAAATGTGGGTTTTCTTCTGACTGGGTAGTTCTCTAGCCCTTCCTGGCAACCCATGAGGTAATCACTCTGACTGAGACAACACAACAAGCCATCATGGCTGTCAACAGCTCAAAAACAAGCCATGTCCTCAGGGTTTGCTCATGAAAAATAATCCACCCTGCAGAACTGGTGCTGGGTTTGACCACCTCTGCTGATCACACATGGTAGGTACTAGTGAGGATCTGGGAAATGGAAATGCCATACAGGTGCCTGGAAAAGGTGGCAGGGTAGATGGGTTTAATTTCTAATTATGATTGAATTACAGCATTAATGTACACAATTCTTTTTGTTAATTCTTTAGCATCAATGTGCTCTTCACTGAATTTTATACCATTAGCTATGGCTGCCGCTAGTGCTACTCATACCATGGGCATAAAAAGCGCTTTGCTCCTGTTACTTCTTCCCAAGGAGGAGGGCCTTTTCTGTAACACAAAAGGGTTGTCTCTAGCTCCCCAGAGAGCAACATTACAGTGAACACAATGCCTTTTAATTGTAAATTCCTCTTAATAAGAATGACAGGCTGTCCTCTAGGGCACTCTAATTAAAGAGGCTTCTATAGCAGTAATTGCACAGAATTCTGTTGCACACAGTCCTTCTGAAGAAATATTTGAAGATGTTAGAATTATGAGATAGGGAAGAAGCCAAATTTCTCATAACCTCAGGCTTTCTCCTTCCTCCCACCCAAGTGTCTAATGTTCTCTCCCTCCCTCTCTCCCTCTACATATGGAGAGAGAGAGAGAGAGCAACATGTATTGTTGTTTTCCTGATTTGACATAAAATCCTGGTCTTGCCCCTTGTCCAGAATTAAATATTTGACTATAAATAGTTCATTTTCTCATCCTGTGGAAACTATTGAGCCAGTTTCTAGTTGTTAAAAGAAAAATCACAACCAAGAGGTATGTAATGTCAGGCACTTTCACCACACTTAGAATCCAAATAGAGGGTCTGGTATTCTGACTGAATTGACATTCACCACTTCACATAAACAAAGCAAAGATTCTCACTTCAGAGATACAAGTTCTTTTGGCAAAGATGAGGTACAACATATGACTTGCTGAAGAATACATTTGAAGGAATGGGAAAGTCATTAGTAATGTTAGTGTAAGAATGCTCCCCAGGTATGGTGGGGAGTATCCCTTACAAGAGTTAATTTCAGAGGGATGTGTGTCTTCTTGATTCCTGCTAGAGGTCCAATCTTACCCTACCCACCATACCATGAGTTGCAAACTTCTGTAGGCCACCTTTCTCAAGCTAATGCGTTTCAGGTATGTTGGCATGAACTTCCTTCATTCCCAGCCCGCATGGCCCATGAAGAGTTGAGAAGGAGGGCAATTGCAGCCCAACACATCTGGTGGTTCTAGGCTGTGAAGTGTGACTTGCGTTGCTTAGGAAAGGCTGGCTGCTAAGAAGTAATGAATTGTCCCACTGCACTAAGTTTGGATCTGAAGCACCACTGCCTTCAGTGGATTCATCTGTTAAAAGGGATAGAAGCGACCTGGGAGGGATATCAGAAGAGAGGAACTTGTTATTTTAGAGACAGTACATCAAGGGCCTGTATCCATTACAACTCCCAAGTTAACCTTCACTCATCTCCTGAATTCCATGTCTTACATATTCTTCAAAAGAAAACTCCAAAGCAGTTGCACATTTCTATCGGTGCCAATTAATTAAACGTCTTCATACATGGTGGATACAAAGGAGCAGCAGCTTCTCAAGGGCCGTGTCAATGCACCATTTCTGCCAACTGGAAGATGTACAGAAGAGAACTGCCTGGGTGTGCTGTGTTCTTTCTGCCATGGGATCAACTTGGAGAGCTGTGAAAAACGCGGGTGGGAGAGTGGGCAGGCTTGTTCTAATGCAAATAACTCTGAATGCACGAAAGAGACACAATAACTGACATTGTGAATTTCTTGTATCAACATTTTCACATGTACCTGAATGTCAAATTTATTCTTTTTTCTCTAATAATAGTAAAAATTATAATGAGCAGTTTTAAGCTTGGAACAGTTCATCTTCCTCTTGTAATGTTTTCTCTTAGGATACTGCAGAGGGGAGGGAATGAGGGAAGAGATGGGGGAAATTAGATAAAAGAGTCAGATGAGGGATATCCAAAATTTTGATTAAAAATCATCATTAATCTTTACTACACTTAACTCTGACAGAATTCCTAATTTCCTAATCTGACAAGTTAATGAAGAATGAAATTCTGTCAAAAATAATCCCTCACTAGCTAAAACAGATAAAAAAATATGCAGTATGCCAATCTGGGAAGGAGAAAGGAACTGGATTTAGTGTGCATGTTAAAAGGCTATTTCTAAACCAGGAGCGTTGCACTTAAACCTTGCCAGCCTTAAGAAGAGGCAGTTCAAAAACACTGTGCTTCTAGAGAGTGTAAAGCAGTGGGGAGATAGTGGAAGTCCCAGTCAGTCTAGTGATGGGTAGCGAGAGACATGACACTGGTAGAAGGACTGGCTAGGTAAGGGGATTGCTGGTTCTGAATGTCATGTTGGAGTCGTCTGGGCTACTGGTTCTGGGAGATTTCAAAATTTACACTGAGGGCACCTGATCTAGGGTGGCTTAGGATTTCGTGGCCGCTTTAACAACTTGGCACGTGTAGTGGGGCATACGCTAGACTTGGTCTTCCCAGCTGGATATGCGAATGGTGCTCTGAGTGTGGGTGACTGCTGAGATTTAACCTGATGGCAGCTTTTTCTCTCTGCAAGGGTTGGGGACCTATTAAGAAGGTC